GGATGGGAGATGAAGTTTCTATCTAAGATATCAGAACTTAGGAATATTGAGGCAGGATGGTTGAAGAAGTTTCTTTATACAATGTCGGTGACCACGTTCGTCTTTTGGGGTGCTCCGACATTTGTGTCTGTCGTTTCTTTCGGGACTTGTATTCTTGTGGGGATCCCATTAGAATCAGGCAAAGTCTTATCTGCACTTGCAACATTTAGGATTCTTCAAGAAACAATTAACAATCTTCCTGACACAATCTCAATGGTGGTTCAAACCAAGGTTTCACTTGATAGAATAGTGTCATTCCTTCGTCTCGATGACTTGCAGTCTGATATTATAGAGAGGCTTCCAACGGGTAGTTCTCCGACAGCAGTTGAGATTGTTAATGGGAACTTTTCTTGGGATTCATCTTCTTCGAACCCCACACTGCGAGATATCAATATCAAAGTGGAACATGGCATGAGAGTTGCTGTTTGTGGTACGGTAGGCTCAGGCAAGTCTAGCTTGCTATCTTGCATCCTGGGAGAGGTACCTAAAATATCCGGGAACCTGAGGGTGTGTGGTGCTAAGGCCTATGTTGCTCAGTCGCCATGGATACAGAGTGGAAAGATTGAAGAGAACATACTTTTTAGCAAAGAGATGGACAGAGAAAGGTACAAAAAAGTTCTTGAAGCATGTTGCCTAGAAAAGGACCTTGAAGTTCTTGCATTCGGCGATCAGACGGTAATAGGAGAAAGAGGAATCAATTTAAGTGGTGGACAGAAGCAAAGAATTCAAATAGCCCGTGCCTTATACCAAGATGCCGATATCTACTTGTTTGATGATCCTTTTAGTGCAGTTGATGCTCACACAGGTTCTCACCTCTTCAAGGTAATTCTTTTTTCTATTTTGCTTCTCTCATCTCCAGAGAGAAGGAAAAAAGTGTCTATGGTCAGTTGTATTATCTTTTTTTTATGGGTTCCACATCTGTTTTGATGCCTGAAGATGTCCTTATAACTCAATTATATCATATTTTTCTGACAGGAATGTTTGCTTGGTCTTTTAAGTTCTAAAACAGTTATTTATGTAACTCATCAAGTAGAATTTTTACCAGCTGCTGATATCATCTTGGTAAGTTTTCAAAGATTTTTATCTTTGTTTTTTGTAGTGCTCCTTCACTTTTACATCTGAGCTAAGTAGATTGATTACTGTCAGGTCATGAAAGATGGAAGAATCGCTCAAGCTGGAAAGTACAACGAAATTCTCAGTTCTGGAACTGACTTTATGGCACTTGTTGGTGCACATGAGGAAGCTTTATCAGCCATTATTTCTGTGCAAGGAGACGCATCTGAAAAATCTGCTAGCAAGGAAGATGGGTCTATGCCAAGTACTAATGGCATTGCAAATGAAGAAGATAAAACAGATATACAAGATGGGAAAGTAGTTGATGCCAATAAGTGGAAAGGGCAGCT